TCATAAAGTTTACCTGGGATATTTATCATTATGTCAAGTAAATATTTTAAAGTTTACATCAAATGCATCCCCACACATTTCTGCATATGGGATATGGGAAAAGAGAAATGATCTGACTGCTCTTTATCCCAGGTATCCCTGCAACCTTCACCGTGAACATCACCTCTCATTCATCACTTGGGACCCTGACAAGAAATGGCAGCAAGGGAAATAGCCAGGGAGCACATCCTAGGAGTCCACATGCTCTTTAAAGTCTTGAATTCTAATTAAAGCACACCACAAACACAGCAAAGCAGTCAGTCTGTCTGCTCACAGCTTCCCCTCTCCTTACCTTTCCCCAGTGGGATCTCTTCTTAAATGTACAGAGGAATAATTAAAAGAATATACTTTAGGGAGCCAAGGAGTGTTATCATAGAAAATGAAAAATGTTCCAGAATGAAGAATGGTTACAGCCAAGAGTAGTGCATTGAAATTCATGAAGGAGCCTCTCTGCTTTGGGCATATTTGTTTTAAATGTCACTATCTGAAATGTATTACAACAACTGGCAACTTGTAGTTAAGCTTGAAGAATATCAACATTTGTAATTCGAGAGAAATGTTACAAAGAGAGTGGAAGAAAGCATCTTAAAGAGGAATTCTAGTCTCAAATATTCAGTGTAGATTTCTTAATAGAGCTGTTGATAACCTTGTTATCTAACAGAGTTCCAACTGTGGAGTGCATTTAACTTCTTGGCTGTAGTCAAATGGGTGAAAACCAAGGGTGTATATGTATTATGCTTGATAAAAAATGCTATTTATTTAAAGTATTAAGAGTGGCCATTATGTTCAAGGACAAAGTTTCCTTCCTCTCAGTAAACTTTATCTGGGAAGAATAAAATGTTTAAACGGTTTTTGAGTTTTACGTAGGACAAAGAATGCTTTCAACTTTTGTTTAGGACAATATCAAACGTAAAAGCTGATTTAACACATTCACTCATAAGTAAAAATGAGTCGCCTCTCATTTTTTTTCATTATTGCATACTGGTGGCTAAGGCTGTATATTTGTGTACGTGATTCCTACTCAGAATTTGTAATGAAAAAGAAGTCAAATTATTATTCAGAAGATTTTCTTTGTTGTTGTTCATTGGTTGGTTGGTTGGTAGTTGAAACACAATCTCTCTCTCTCTCTCTCTCTCTCTCTCTCTCTCTCTC